GAACAGTAGTAGTAGTGGCTTCACTAGGGGAAGAAAGTACCCTAGTGCCCTGGATAGGGAAGTTGCTCATGCAGTATTAGTGTCTGTGCTTCACTCTCTTCTTTTTCTTTTCCTGCCTACCTTTTTGACCGCTGCTGAGTCCATGGTCCCATCAGCTCTGTGTTTCATGCTCTTGTCTATACTGCATGCCCATTGCTCACAGGGAAGTAGTGTGCCACATAAGCCTCACAGGTTGAGACATATGAGCCAGGGAATAAACCACACAATAAAAACCAATAGACAAAACTGTAGTGCCCTAGCATGTACTTTGTTACCTGCCTGCCAGTTAAAAAAGTACCTTGGCATGGTTGGGTGGGACTTTGGATAATTAAGATGCCTTTAAAAAAATCTGGTTTTGTTCTATGGATCCCAGTGCAGCCACCTTTCTAACAGTTAACTAATGGCTTAACTTAACCTTGGGGGGAACCTGAAGTTTAGGTTGCTCTTAATTTCTGTTGTTCAGCTTCAGATATTCTTGTCTGTATTTGTGGTTTTCTGTAACAGGATTTGTTAGGGCCTTGGCAAGCCTTAGGCTTAGAAAGTAGTAATTATGGCTGAGAGGGGGAGGGGAAGCATTAGTGTACCGAATGTACAACCTTGAGGTTTGTAAAGCTTAGGTATTTGTCCATCAAATAGAGCTATTGGATTAATGTTCAGAGCCCTCCAACTTTATTAGACTAGCTAGGAAAGAAAACTCTGTTTCCTGCAAAATTACGAGGCTTTAATGCTCATCCTTGTTGCTCATAAAGAATGAGACTGCTGTAGAGGGGTGGGGGGAGACACAGAAGAAGAGATTCAGTGCTAGAAGAGCAGGCAGCCTATGCCAAAGGCAAGTGGGATATGGCTGTGTTCTTGACTGGAACGACACTGAGGCAACTGGGATGGTCTGAGGAGAAGTGAGCGGGATCCCTAGAAGGATCTGACTGTTATTTGTGTTGCTTGGAAAATCTTTAAAAGAACCAGTGTGTCTCAGTGTGTGTTTCCATTATCTCTTTCTGATTTCAGCCTGTTTGGAATCTGATCTTTTCTTAGCATACATGTATCGTGTTAGAAAAGAAGTATCTAGAGAATTTTGGGCAGAGCCTGTTGTTCCTGGCTTGTTTTTGAAAAGCCATGCTACAGCTGGTAGGAGCAGGAGGTGATTACTGTTGCAGTTGTCCTGCTGTTAGCTCAAATATATTTTCTCTAACATAGTAAAAAGAAAGGGAAGGGTGGATGAACTTCTTATATAGTGGATTTCAATGCCAGCTGAGTAGTAGAAGACTCTTAGATCATGCATATATGTTTTTGTAGCTTAAGAATACGGATAGGCAACCAAAAATGCATTGAATGTGACACTGAAAAGTTTCAGATGTTACACTAGACAAAGTGTCTTGAATATTTCCAGAACTTATAAATTTGCTATAGCAATATTTCTTAAAATACAGTTTGCTGTGCTGATCTGATTGTCTGCTCAGCTGTATAATGAATTCAGTATAACTTAAATTTTATCTCTTAGTAGTAGTGTGCATAGGTTCCCAATCATAAAAAGGTCTTGTATCATAAGACTGAGACAGAGGTCCCCTTAGGATGCTATGGGTGTTGGTTATGCTACTTATCTAGGTCTTGGTCCTGTTATCTAACTGTAGATGTATGCCAGAGAGGTACCTATCTAATCTAGTTTGGATTTAAGGCTGTAATATAAGGAAGATTCTGATGCTTGTTTTGAAAGCTGATGTAGGCATGGCTGTTATAGACCTTGTGGCATTCTTAATGAAGTCTTATCTGGGTTTCTGAACAAGTACCTTTCCTTTGGTTAGATCATAGAGAGGAAATTGGGCACTGAAGACTCAAGTTGCAACTCTTCTTGAGAAGCAGACAAAACAAGAATCATCTCAGACAAGAAATTCAGGGCTGCATGTGAAACTTCACAAAAATATTCAGGTCTTGCAGCTTCAGAGTTTAGGTAAAAGCATACAAAACACAACTGGGATTTTGAAGTTATGTGAGCTGCTACTGTACTCTAGCTTTGGGTCTAATTATTTAATTTACCCTCCAAATTTCAGAAACCATCACTGAGGAAGATAAAATATATCTATAAAACTTGCTAATGTTGCTAAGTAACTTGCTAAGTAAGTTTATTTCCTAATGCACTGAAGAATAGTGAAGTAATCAACACACTTCTGATGTATATAAGTTGTTATACTAGACTTCTTACACAATGAGTGAACATAGTAGGTAGCTATCTGCAGTGACATGGTACATGTGTGTAGAATTTTGTATGTGTGTCTAACTGAAGGTATGTATATTGGGTTATTTTCTAGCTGCCCTAGAAAAGAGGTTATTGTTATCATTAGCACCTGATTTTGCTGTAGTTCAGCTTCTTGGAAGATTCCAGGTGAAACTTAACTTCATTTCTTGCTGTTTCTGTTTCAAGTACATGTGAAACCTGTATTTCTAGAATAGAAAATACTTCTTTGTGTAGAACATGGTTACATGACTAATACTTGGTTTCTGTATGGCACTTGGAGTTGCGTAAATGTAAGATTGCATCTTGCAATACAATAACCAGATATGCTGCAGTTCATAGCTGTAGTAGCAAACAAGGTAGAAGTTATCTTGCTGCTTTGAGTACAAGAAGGACTGTTTATTTCTCATGTCAGTAATAATTTTATTAAACAAAACAACAGAACCACTGTTTAAGAGTGGTCCAGTCTAATCTGTCTGAAAACTGTGGATAGCACTAATATTTTAAACCCTGATTAGATTTATTACTGGAAGGACTTTTCAATTATTTTGGCTTTTTCTTTTTTAATTGGGTGTCTGCACACCACTGCTTTAAAGCCCCCATACTTAGAACAATGGTAGAGCATGTTTTATTGTTAAATGGATGAAGGAAAAAATAATCTTGTTTTCCATTAGAGCAAATGAAGCTGGTTTATGATTAATCTGGATTTTCTGGGTCAGTACACACTGTACCTAAACTTCTAACAGATGTGGCAGGACAATAAGTTTTTGGATGAGAACAGTGAAAAAATAATTTCTGTACTAGTATTTAAATGTTGAGATGTCCTTGTTCAGATCAAGTTAGTATCAGCCAGGCTCCATCTTTCCTGAAGACACTTGAGTGATTAATCCCTAGATGATGGCATTGGAGAAGTTAGGCTGCTGTTCATCATATCTACATTTTTACAGATGAAGTCTAATTATACAATAAAATTAACTGCAAGGTTTTATGGCTTTTAGGATGTAAATTAAAGGTGGCAACCTTAAACTACAGGTAAAAGAACTTTGAATTCTATAATCAGCTTGCCACATAGCTCACCTACTTCATGTGAATGTTTTAAGGCCTTAGTAAATGTTTGAAGTGCTGGCAAATGGGAAGAACTTGTTTGTTCATTCCTGCATGCTAGTATTGTTCTTTTGTCAATGGTCCTTAAGAAGAAAAGAAGAAAGCTGCCAAATGTATAAATAATGGCAGCGGAGTAACACCTGAATACTTCTGTTAATCCCATATGAATTTAAATGTGGTGGTCAGACTGACAGGTGAAATTGTCATCCTTAATAAAGAGGCCGTAGTAGGGTATTAGAAAATCAAGACTGTGCCAAGAGCTGCCTCCTTATGGAAAGCTGAAGTCTTTAGTTATGGTGGGGATTGCACTTACAGCTGGCTGATCACAGATTTGGAGTAATTTTTTTTGATATGTAGAGCACTCTAGGCAGATCTGTTGAAGTTCAGCCTGTGTAGCTGCACTTCTGCATGGTGCAAGGCTTATTGAAAACTAACTTAAATCCATTGCTGTCCCTAGCCATCTGCCATCTGTTTCATTCTGTACTGGAATGGCAGTAGAGAAATTGTGTTTGAATTTTAGAAAGAGGATGTAAAACTGTAGGGCCTGTGTTATCAGAGCTGCTCATCAGTCATCTGTGAGGTTACAGAACTCTTATTTGCAACTGTGACTCCAAGACTTCCTAACTCTTTTCCAGGGTATATATTTTATTACAGGCACAGTTTAATTAGACTATCATGAAGTTATCTGACACTTTACAGCTATTCATCTCACTTGTAACAGAATCCTATTTTGGGACTGTTAAAATTAAACTCCTGTAAGTTTAACTACTTGGTGTTTCACATAAAAACAGAATGTGAGGCAGGATAGGAGGTTCAAGTTAGTATCTACAAGCAACACTTTTGTAAAAATGGACAATGTGTATGAGCATGCACTGGCGATTGCAGCTTACTTGCTTCTACTTCTGGGTCAGTTTTTTGGAGTTCTGTACCTAAGGAGGGCAGCTCATGTAAGGCCTTTTCTCCAGGTTGCCTGATACTTCTGCTTCAGGGAATGTCAAGATTCAGAAGGCGAACAGTTTTCTCAAAGTAAATCACCGCAGTTGCTCTGAAACAGTTGTGAAGTGTTTTTAAATAGCTTTACACTTTTTTTATATTAATAGGGAAGGATGTCTGTTCAGAAGCCCTCTTGTATCTTCCCTTTGTGATGGCAGGGAGGAAATGATGTTTGTTTGACAATCATCATTTGAAAGCTATGTCCTGAACTTGCTTCAGTCATAGCTTGTATTCTAATGCAGGTCATAACCTTGACTAATTTTCTTTTAATTTGTACAGTATCTTATGACACTAATGCATTCTGTTTGAAATTTCTGTGCTTCAAACTGAATCTGGAACCTTAATACAGGAACAGAGTTTGAGACATGGTATTTTGCTGGCTTCATGCTTGAATCTTCAGTGCCAGCAGGAGAGAATAAAATTGAATAGGTCCTGTGCAGTTTGGCTGGCTTAAGTTGGCACTGTATCAATCCACTATACACCTGGTTTTTAAAGCTAATGAATACCTCAAAATGTAGCTTTGTAAATATATTCATTTTAACCCTTCCATCACACAATGGTAAGTTTACCCTTGCAACTCTATCAAGTTAAAGTATCTTTGACTAATTATATCCCTTTTTTTTTTTTTTTTGTAGGTATTGTGGTAAATGGCCTGATTAACATTAGTATTTCAACAATTGAGAAGCGTTACGAGTTGAACAGTTCCCTCACTGGCTTAATCTCTGCAAGCTATGACATTGCTTTTTGTATACTGTCACTGTTTGTATCTTTCTTTGGAGAAAGAGGGCACAAACCACGATGGCTTGCTTTCTCAGCATTTATGCTAGGATTGGGCTCACTTGTATTTTCCTTACCACACTTCAGTAGTGGAAAATACCACTATGGAGCTAAACTTGAAGGTAAGCTTATCCTTACATTTTGAAACTGATGAGAAAAAAAAAAAATCTCTGTAGTGACTTGGTGCAATTCTTAATTTGGTACAACATAGTTAATCTCTGTCAAAGTCCTAAAAATACGGTATTATCTCTAACACTGAAAACAAAATGATTCTGTGAAATCTGTATGTTCTGCACAGTGAACTTTCTTTTTCAGGAGAGATCTGAGTGTCAATATCAGTTCGTGCTTATAAGCAATATTTGAATAAAATGCTTTTTGACTTGCATTGATGAATGCAATTAAAATTCGCTTTGAGTAAAACATGGTCTGGCATTTCTTTGAATAGGAATGCAAGTGAGGTCAGTGATCGAGAATAAGTGTTAAAGGAAAGCTGTTAGAAAGGTGACTACATGTTGCAGTTCTTTTATTAAAGGCATCTTGAGTAATTCAGTTTCACTAAGTTCTTCTAAAATGTTGATTATAACTTGTGGGTTTATTTGAAATAAAGAGGTAACAAGCAGTACTGAACTATACTGAAAAAAAGCAGTACTGAAATTGTGGGAGTAGCCAGGTCTCAGATCTTACATATCTCTTCTCATAAAACAAGACTTTAAGTGCAGTGTGCTTAATGCCAACCAATTGCATCTCAACTTAGTGGCACACCCCAAAAAACCTTCCTTGTTGGTTTTTTTTGTTTGGATGAGTAGTTTACAGAGATTTTAATGTACTTGGAGTAAACTCTTATTTGATGCTTTGTATTAAATACCACCAAATTTATTTTTGAACAGTTCCCAGTTGGTTACTTGATTATTTATGTTCATCTGGTATATGTAAGTGCAGCGAGTTTCACCTGCAGGACAACTTCAAAGTGTAGTTCAGAGCAATATTTAATATGGCTGCCAGGTTAATAAATAGATCTAGTCTGGAATACAAAATATATCTAGCCTCCAGTATAAGGCTTACAGACTTCCTGGAACTTAGTGTTTTACCTTGAGATATTAATTTACTTTTATTCTGAGTATATACATATCCTACTTTAGAAAGCTATTCCACTGGAAATATTTATCATAGTAACACTCTTAGAAATAGTTTAATCCATCTCATATTGAAAGAGTAGCTAACCAAGTCTACCTATTTACAAAAAGTTTTAGCCACAGCAAACATATCTTGTCTAATCCCTAGAAGGGCTTCAGACTCATTTGTAACCTGGATGTTACAAGCTATTTGTTCTGATAACTTTTTTTAGAATACATAGTCTTCAGTGTCTCACCTGGCTCTCATATTTATAGTCAGGAGCTCCATCTAGTGGTTTGTCTGTAATGAAACCATTCTGTATTCAATTACCCGTAGACAGTACAGAGGACTGTAAAAACTGCAGATACTCTAAGCAATATACTTTTAAACTTCTGTCTCAGAACTTACTGGAACATGTTTAAATTTGTAAAAGATGTCTGTCACAGCAAATGTAGAATGCACATCTTCACCTGACACAAGGAAGATAATTTTATTGTGAGGACAGTCAAGCATCAGAACAGATTACCCAGAAAGACTATGCAGTCTGTATCTCTGTGGGGTTTCAAGACCCTGCTGAGTAAAGTCCTGAGCAACTTGGTCTGCATTGGGTTTTGACACTGTTTGGCCTGATGGCTCTACCAACCTGAGTTTTTTCCATGGGTCTTTTCAGTAACAGGATGTGAATGATGTCTTTGGAAAAAAAGAAATATCTTTGTTAATAACAAGTCTTAGCCTTTTGAGTCAAAGTGTGTGTGGTGTGATTTGAGAAGAGGAAGAATGACTTGAATGCCTTCAGTTCTCTGTTGTACTGGAAACTCAGGTGGTGGGTAAGTCATTTAGGGTCTGAGAGTTAGTGAATCTTCTCAGAAGGGCATTAATTAGTGACTGCATCAGTGGACAAGGGAAAAGCAATGGATGTCATCTGTTTGGACTTCTGTAAAGCCTTCGACACAGTCCCCCACAACATCCTTGTCTCTAAGCTGGGGAGATATGGATTTGATGAGTGGACTGTTCAGAGGATAAGGAATTGGCTGGATGTTTGCATCCAGAGGGTTGTGGTCAATGGCTCGATGTCCACATGGAGACCGGTCACCAAAGTGGAGTCCCTCAGGGGTCCATACTGGGACCGGTGCTTTTTAATATTTTCATCAGTGATATTGACAGTGGGATCAAGTGCACCCTCAGCAAGTTTGCAGACAACACCAAGCTGAATGGTGCGGCTGACACGCCAGTAGGATGAGATATCATTCAAAGGGACCTGGACAAGCTGGAGAGGTGGGCCTGTGTGAACCTCATGAGGTTCAACAAGGCCAAGTGCAAGGTCCTGCACCTGGGACAGGGCAAGCCCTGATATCAGTACAGGCTGGGAGATGAAGGGATTGAGAGCAGCCCTGTGGAGAAGGACTTGGGGATACTGGTAGATGAAAAGCTGACATGAGCTGTCAGTGTGCGCTTGCAGCCCAGAAAGCCAACCGTATCCTGGGCTGCATGAAAAGAAGTGTAGCCAGCAGGTTGAGGGAGGGGATTCTGCCCCTCTATTCTGCTCTGGTGAGACCTCACCTGGAGTACTGCATCCAGCTCTGGAGCCCTCAGCACAAGAAGGACAAGGACCTGTTGGAGCGGGTCCAGAGGAGGGCCACAGAAATGATCCGAGTGCTGGAGCACCTCTCCTATGAGGCCAGGCTGAGAGAGTTGGGGTTGTTCAGCCTGGAGAAGAGAAGGCTGCGGGGAGACCTTATTGCAGCCTTTCAGTACTTAAAGGGGGCCTATAGGAAAGATGGGGACAATCTTTTTAGCAAGGCCTGCTGTGACAGGACAAGGAATAATGGATTTAAACTTTAAACTTCTTCTTTGAAGAATAGATTTAGACTGGATATAAGGAAGAAATTTTTTACAGTGAGGGTGGTGAAGCAGTGGAACAGGTTGCCCAGAGAGGTAGTGGAGGCCCCATCCCTAGAAACATTCAAGGTGAGGTTGGATGGGGCTCTGAGCAACCTGATCTAGTGAAAGCTGTCCCTGCTTACTGCAGCGGGGTTGGGCTAGATGACTTCTAAAGGTCCCTTCCAACCCAAAGCATTCTATGATTCTATGAATTGATCTTGCTTCCCAGAACATGCCAAGGACAATTAAAGATTGGAGAAGACTGTGGCGTTTGGATACTAATGGTGACAGAACAGCTGTGATGTCAGCCCCAATTTGACTGTTTTGTCTTGCATTATCAGTACGTCTGCTTTTTGTGTTGGTTTTGCTCTCTGAAGAGACTATCTGATTAGTTGAATAATGGATAGTGCTGCTGTTCTCTACACTGGTCTGTTTCTCTATACCACTTAGATGTTCTGTAATACTGCAGCATCTGCCTTTAGAAAGTAAGAACTTCATCTTCCTTCAGCATGTTCACTGATGCTTTGAGTGACTTTCCCATTCAAGACCTAAAGGTGAGACAGATTTTTAAGTTTAAAAAAGGAATAGAAACCAAGCTGTTCTTTCTTTCTCATTCCTCACAACTCTCTTTATTCCCTGCCCCCCCAAAGGACAAAAAACCCCCACACCTACTGGCTGCAGTTCTAAGATATGGGTAAAACGAGTCTTGACCTGTCTTACTTCTAATGAATGTAATTGCTAAAGCACCTCACAATTGGTTCTGCCTTCTTGGCTAGTATGTTGCAACAGATATTTGGGAATATTTTGATCTTTACATAACTTAGATTCAGGTAGATGTGTTAGATTAAAGCATGCAAGAAGGTTGATAATCACTGACTCTGTTAGATTGTGTTGCCTTTAACACAGTTCTGCTCTTTAAAATGCAAGTCTAATCCACTGACTTTTAGAAGGGAAAACAAGTTTAATGAGAGAAGGTAGTTAAAAATGGTCCACCACCCATCTTAAACTTCTCCCAGGGCTTGGTTTATCTCGGTTAGACTTTCTTGATCATGTAAAAGCCAGTACCTTCTGTCTCCACCATTCTTATGACAGCAGCAAAGAGTCTTGTGGATCTAATCCAGGTTAGATTTAACCTGTGTCACTTTACCAATTTGCTTAAACCTTGGACTTGTACAAGAAGGGGATGACATAAATGGCCGAGGTAGAGGGTGCAAACGGTTGTTTGATGGCAGTTTTGATTTATGCTGGTTTTAAACTAATCTCATAGTTTTGTGGTAAATTGTCTTTGCTTTTAAAATATTTCTTGGTCCATGACTCCACTCAGTGTGCACTTGCTGATTTTAAAAAAAAAAAAAAGAGGTCTGATACCCTATGCAAATAAAAGGATTATGATTGTATTAAAGCACATATTGATGGTTCTCTCTTATTTGTAGTTAGACCTGATTATGTGGTTCTGAAAACAAACCAGTGTGATAAACTTCTCTCATCTCCATGTCAGGATAAATTGCCTAGGGCATATAAATTGAAGAGCTAGAAAACTGAAGGAGAGAGGCTATAATCAATTAATTATACAATGCCATAGGCTTTTAGATTGATATGAATTGAGACATTGGGGTTGGGGATGGGGATTAATGAAGAACCTCAGTCTGTTAGAGTTTCATTTCCATTACCATGTGTAATCTGCTTATTTCATGAAGCTATTTCTAGTTCTCAAATCAGGCTACACTTTTGTCATTTAACATAATTCATGGCATCTTCTTGCTCTACATTACTTGTTTTCTGATGTGTATATTTTAACAAGATACTATTATTTGTGTACTACAATAAAATAACTAACAAAATGCTGGTTTAGACTTGCCCAATAGGTATTAGAGGCTAACTTACAGCTGCAGGTATATACTATATACGTGCTGTACATGAATATGTGTATGTTAATAAGATATGGTAGGACATGGTGTCCTTCTACAGTAATTTTAGATGCTGTGCATGTAAATAGTACAAAGTTGACCTGATTTAAGATGTGATTTCCTGCAGAAAAGAGGAATATTGCTAAAGAAAGCAGATAGACAATAAATGGAAAATATACTCTGAAAACCTTAATTTTCAGAGTATTGATTCATAATGAAGTGCTCCCCATGTGGCTTCAGTATAGCATTGAAATGAGGATTGTTCCTAAGTGGAAAGGATGGAAAACTTTAATGACTCCTCCTGAAGTGAAGTTTTCCCATCACTTCATGTTGGCCAGTTTCTGTGCAACAGCACTGAATCACCTGTTGTGTGCTACGTGATTCCATCACCACTATGGTGCCCTTCCTTCTGGAGAAAGGCATGATGAAACTCATGGATGCATTTATGATAACATCAGTGTAGACAGTTCTAATTTAAATATCTGCTGTGTGGCAAGCACTTGCTTGTATTTTATGTCCTGTGAGCCCAAAGTGTGGACAAGCTTGCCCTTTGTTTGCTTAAGTGAAAAGTGTTCTCAAATGTAAAAGGACCTGAGGAAAATGATGTAATAATTTTGTAGCAAAGTATTGAGAATTAATCAGTGTACTCATCTGATCTGAAGGGTGTTTTCGTATATTTGCTCTGTATGGCTTGTTTCCACTACTTAGGAGTTTATCCTCTTCCTTAGGGTTGTATGCTCTTCTGTGGAAAAACCTGGAAAGAACAATGCTCCTCTTTTTGATCTTGTCACTTGGAACTGTCTGCTACTGAAAGTGCAGTGATAGCAAGAGGAAGGAGAAGAGAAAACATACTCTGTCTTCACTTCCTCTTTTCTCTTCCCTCCTCATAGTGCCAAACGTTACAGGAGAAGTTGCAACTGTAGGCTACCTCTGCTTCCCTCTTTGTGTGTGGGGACAAGTACAGAGGCTTTACATTAACTTCTCATTCTGGAGATATGGCAGTGTGTGCTCTGAGAGATAGTGGTGTGGGTTTTTAAGTGGTTTGTTTTTAGGGTAATACTTCTCAAAATGGTGTTTGAGAAAGGAAGTATTATCTTTGCTTATGACACTTCATGACTGCACTTTCCTCTCCAGCAGTCCAACTTTCCTCAGGTTGTTCAGGCTGCTCTGTCACTTAAGAATGGAAGTTGTTGTTAGTGCTTCTCAGGATCACTATAAGGTACAAGAACAAAATGAAGTGTGTTTTACCTAGGAGTATTCACTAACCTGTTCAATGACCATTTGATTTGCATACATCTGGCCAATAATGCTTTCAACAAGCCAAAATGTTTTAATAAGGCTATTTCATCCATCTTTCCTTTCTGGTAAGGAAACAAAAAACAAGCCATGATAGTATTCCTTTTGGGGGATATGATATCATAGAAGGTTAGGGCACTGTCATATAGGATATATTAATAGGCCTGAAAATTAAAATGGGAGCCTGGCACTAACAGCACTTCATATGTAGTTTAACTTTTAGTACAGTTTTTTCTTCAGTTGGACTGTGATGAGCTGGGTGACAGAATTTTAAAGTCTTGCTGTCTCTGTCTTTCAGACACGTGTCAAATTCCAGGAGCAAGCTCTGCTAACTTCACTTGCAGTGCCAGCAAAAAGTCTTCACTTCCCAACTATCTATATGTCTTTATCCTGGGACAGCTGCTGCTGGGAGTTGGAGGAACTCCACTATATACTTTGGGGACAGCTTTTATTGATGATAGTGTCCCAAAACACAAGTCTTCCCTTTATATAGGTAACTTTTAAAACTGTTTATAACACATTGTCTGGGTAGATCATAGACTGCAATGCCTAACAAATGTTTTTATGAATTCCTCTAATTAAATCAATCTTGTAATTGTTTACTTATGTGTGTAAAGCGTTTCTATATCAGTTACTGTGCAAGTTAGTTATTACTCTGCTATGTGTCAAGTCTTTTCAATAGTAATTTTGCAGAGCATGGTAAGGCTACTTTGTGCACCTCTCCTGCTGTTTTTTCATGTCAGTAACTGAAAGTGATTTAAGTGGTTAGTGTAACCTGCCTGTTAACAACAGAATAAGTTGTAGCAAAAAAATTTGCTTTTTACTGTCACAGATTTTGAAAACTACTGTACATCAGGTCAGTAGCCACACCTTACTGTATTCTTTAACAGAATTTATTTATTCAGAATTTATTTATCAATTTTATTTATTTACCTTGTAACAGTAGGCTGTACCCTCGGTGCAGGGACATTCCTATGCATCATGTGATCAATGCAGTTCTCTAGCCACA